ATGTGCTATGCCACCTAGTGGCGAAGCTCCAAGCCGGGTGTTCGGGTATGTACTTTTCCTCAAATTCACTCTCTTTTCCCAAACACACATGAACATTTCCTTACAAAAAGACGCCGGCATATACGCCAGCAAAGACCTTAAATAGCGACGGTTTTTGTTGGCAGCATAGCGGTTGCACCCACACTCCAAATCGCGCATCTGGCAGCAACACCCTGCAGCGACCCCAGCACCCAAGCTCCAAAGCGCACACTGCCACAGACATCAGGCAACGCCCAAAGCGGCACCAGCACACAGGCTCCGTAATGCAGACTGCCATACACATCTGGCAGCAACACCCTGCAGCAGCACCTTGCATGGCACCCGAACCCGCACGGCACAAACATTTGGACATTTGGCCGGTGCCTTGCAGCGGCATCAGGACACAAGCTCCAAATCGCACACGGTCATATACACCTGGCAGCAACATGCAGCAACACCCTGCAGGGAGCGGGCCCCTGCAGCCAGCACCCAAGCTCAAAGGCAACACCATCCAAGCTCCAAAGCCATGGACCTTGGAGCGTCACCCTGCAGCGGCACCAGCACCTAGGCTCCAAGCGCACACAGGCACATGGACGATGTCGAGAGTCATGAATGTACTGTAAATAGCAGCGAATTAGCCGGACACGCCCGCGCAGAACAGCGATCTAAGCACACCTTTCTTTCTCCTACCGTAAGAACCCGATCAGTGTGCCCACTGTTTGGGGAAAAAAAGGTCTCTCTGTCAAAGCACCACGCTTGCTCTCCACCCACGCGGCACCTCCTAAGGAAAAAGCATCGAGAGCAAACTAACACGGAATACTAGAGTACCCGTGAGAATTTCTGAAAGTCACCAACTACAGTACGTAAGTATACTTCAACTGCCCCCCCAGATTTACTTTAACAGGTGGATGATGGATAACAAGGCGATGTGATGCACCAGTTCAACCAGTTCAACGACCCGAACACGACGTCCTACGACCTCACCGAGGTGGACCACACGAAACCGCGACACTCACAGCGGCCCCTGAGGCCCCAGCTTCATTGGGAGACGACGCGACGCGTCGGGGTGCTGGAGCGGTAGCGACCGCCGAACATGCAGGTGAAGTGGTGAGGACAGTCGACTCCTTAGGCTACTTGAGAATGGAAGAAATGATACTTTTGGGAGGATTGGCTTCTTTGAACCATGGAGCGCCAGTCACATGTCCCGCTCTAACCCCCCTGCGTCACTTGAAGCACAGGGCACGGCCGAGCGGCGTGGCAGGCACTGATCCAATCGTGTCAATCCAAGAATATTACATTTGTACACCAGGGAAGACTAAGATGGAACCCGGAAATGGACCTTTGGAAGACTATTTTCCTCTACAACCCACTGGTTTTCAGGTTCCATGTTGATCTTCCAGGGCATATAAATGTATATAATGTATTCTAATGTTGACTGAGTACCTGGATGTTGGTTCTACGTACCTGGATGACTCAAACAAACTCTTCATACTTAAAAAACAAGTCGATACCTGGTTTTCAAAACGCAGGTGCAGGACTTTTTGAGGACTTTTTCTGTGTCCAATTCACCACGTGTCCGGTTCGTGTCCCGTCGTCGACTCTGGTGGGGTTCCCAGGTGCCCAAGTCCGGCTCCGTCCACCTCCTGAGCCACTGGCAATAGCCTTCAAAGACCGTTCAAGAAAGGTTGGCCTGGTGTTTGAGTCTAAAATCCATCTGAACACACCGGTGGTTCTGGTCGTTCTATCACCCTGTTTGAGCCGGGAGCCTTCACATGCTTCACCAGTCCGCCCCCCCAAGTGGTTTGATAGAACAGGTCCCATGTGGCTATGTGGGTCTAGCAGAACACGTCCCAAGTGGTTTAGCTTCAGTTCCCATACACCCTGGTGGAAGAGGTCCGCATGGAACATCATGGAACCTGACATCCACCACGCCAACCCTGGTTTGTAGGAGTACGTCGTCTTCCAGTCTGGTCGCCCAGCCCGGTTCCATTTGGGTCTCTGAAGCCGGGTGTGACGCACACATTGTTTCTTTTTCTTTTTTTTGTCGACGGCTCAGTCACATCCACCGCGCGTCCTCGGCACAGATGCATCGAATTGGACCGGTCAGGCCCCCAGCGAATTGGCAAAGATCCATGGGCACAGCTGGTTGCTGCTAGGCCAGGCTGGGCCGGCGTGAAGGTGAAGGATTCTGGAGGCATCTAGTGAGTCTAGGCGTGATGAACCCCAACGAATCTGATGAGTCAAACAAGTCCCCTCTGCCAAGCTCTCTACCTGGGGAGGACCTTTCGGAGGACCTTCCCACCTTCGATGCGTCAAGAGTCACCCAGTGGCTTTTTCAACCTGCAGTGGATCCTTCTTAGCACTGTACAAGGAAACAAAGATTCGGTTGGTCTACGCTTTTAGTCTTTGGACCCACTGTAATTGAAATACCAAAGTCAAAACCCATCCTGGACAGACTTGAGGGGATGATTCTCCTGCAGTATCCTGCAGTTCGATTCAAGGGGACTTGGCCCACCCTGGCAGCCACCTGCACGGAGCAACCTGCATAACCTGCGTGAGACGCGAGGAGAACCTAGCAGCTATGTCCGACCAAGGGACTTGAAGATCGGCAAAGAACAAAAGAAAATACGAACGTGTACATCGTGTACAACTGGGAATCCTTGGGAAACACAAAATACTAAAGACATCTAAAGACTACCTGGACGCTCCCAAAAGAAAACGTCGAACATGGTGCACATATGTCACATGACCCTTTCAACAAATATTTAGGCCCGGTATGTACGCATACGAACCAATGTTGATACCCGGTATACCCTTCTTGAGACCACGGGTATACTCGGTTGAGCAAGGAAACGACACCGGAGAGCTCCCAAATAAGAGAGTCCATGGCTGGAAGAGGTGCGAAAATGCCATGTGGAACGCTTATTAGTTTGTTCATGTGCTTGTTATAATTTATTATATATCATATCATATATTCATATCAAACACTTAAGGCATCTTAAGGCCTTTCAGGCCAGAAAGGCCACCAAAACTCCCGTCCAGGACTCCTTGGCGATCAAGAATTCTCCTCCGCATGTGCAACAACTTCATGCCGGACAGCAAAAACGCGGTGTGACACACATGCCCAGCACATGATCTCATGCAACACATGATGAGTGCTACAAGAGAAAGCGGCTCAAGGGAGAGTCTCCGGAGAAAGGGACCCAGAAGGAACACTTGGACTTTGAAGAAGCCAACCACTAACAGTCTGGAACACTCGTGCAAGATCAAACAAAGGTCCTAGAATAACTCAGACTCAAACACTTGCAATTCCTCTCATCTTTTGGGTCAACACCGCAGCGTTGGACAAACCTAGACTCTCGGAACCTCACACCTGCATGACCTGCATGTGAACACATGGGGTTGTTCTGCCCCTCAGGTCCACTGCACAGCTGCTCTCCTCAGGTCGACCCGCCCTGGCCCTAGCTACGCCCGGGGCGCCGCGGGATGGGGAGCGGCTCGAAGTCTGCATAAGGGCAACAAAGGTCGCTGTCTTCAGGCCACCATCCTGACGCGCGCCCCAAAGCTCGAGCGAAGTCGGGGACGAAGTCGAAGACGGAAGGCGCAGTAGGTGCGGTGCATGGAGTCAACCCGCTTAGAGCCACTTTGTTCGGATAAGTTCTTCAAGCATCTTCAAGCCAGGAGTGATAATGGGCACCCCTATCCTCCAATAGGCACCCTTTGTGAGCCCCAGTTCTTTTCTTGCAGAACAAAGACATTAAATGCCTGACATAGACGCTATACACCAGGCCCAGCATACATCATACCAAATCAGCCGGCATTCTGAGTGCATCCAAACCCCGGGGTTACCCCACCTAGACCTACCTCGATCATCCGTTCTGGGTCACCAATAGACTAACCTATATACTTATCACTAGCTCCGCTAGACACACAGGTCGACGGATGCTCCTCATATGTTAGAGGTTCCATCACCCCAGTCTTGGGCTCGATGTGCGGCTCCCCGGAACCGGGATAGGGGCTCCAGAGGTACCTTCTGGGGAGGTACGACTGGAGCGGGAAGATCTTCGCCCGTTTCGGGGAGATTTACCCAGGACACCGGCCAAACCCGAACACCTGAGTCGCGCCAGGCAGGCGCTGCGCCTGGGATTTCCGTCTCAGGACTCCTGCCATCGAGCCAATGTGGCTGGCTGGTTCCGCTGATTCCGCTCCACAGGGCCCTCATGGGAAGAACCGTGATCCAGGTTTGAGGTGTCTTTGGGTTTAACGAATATGTGCTCCAAAATGTGTGAGACTGTTGTTTTGAAAAGATGTTGAAATAGACTTGGCAAAAGGCTGGCAGAGTCCAATCATCCTCTGACTGAGTTTGTGGCGGACATCTGTGTCAGGGTTTGTGGACATGGCTAGCTGCTTTTTGTCACCCTGAATCATGAAACCTGTCTTATGTGTCTTGGAAGTCCAAAAAGCATCTTGGCTCAGTCTTGCCCCCAGAAACTGCCTTAGCAGTTTAGCAAAAAGAAGCTAGGCTTCCGCCATTCATGGGAGCGTCAAATAGCGCATGTCACGTCTTCCACATTCTGCAAAAACTAACGCCATTAGCTCATGCCGTTAAATAGCCCATGTCTGCAGCACAAACCCAAACACTCCATGGGACTGGAATATATATGCCTATATTGACTCCCGCTGGCACCACCCCAACTGATTGGCAAATATATGACAGTCTGGATCCATGTCGACATCAACCTTTCATCATGACTCATCGGGTGTTGGGTGCGGGGGTTGTTGACCTGGCCAAAATGACCTGCCTTGGTGAGCTGAAAGACCAAGCTGAACGGAACACCCGAAGCTAGCGGACACGCTCCGTCCCTCGCGGACACGCTCCGAACAGGTGTAGCAGCTTGGTGCTGTAGCAGGTGGGTTTGGCAGGTCGTGAAGGTGGGACAGCCGTTGTCCGCTTCATCCCCAAGGAGTGGATCTGCTGTACTGAAGGTCCAGTGGCTGTCCCTCCTCTACCTGGTTCTGGACAAACGAAAACGAGGCTTTGTTTTTTGTGTTTGCTTGATGGCCTTCCACAGTTAAAACATAGCTATATACATCGAGGCCATTGATTGATGGCTTTTTGATGGTTGCATATGGTTGCTTGATGATAGATGGACACTTACAGAAACCAAACACCTCCTTTCACCTGGTGTCAGCCCGGCCTCTATGCATCCGGCCTCTATGCATTCACTTCATGCATTCACTTCAGTCGTCCACCCCCACAGCCTGGAGGATGAGAACTCCACCACCTCTTCAGGACTTCGAGAAGGACCGGAGCTCACCTGGCGCTGGTTGGCTTGGAGACAGCGGACCTGGAGTCACACGCTGCTTGGGTCTGCTGGGTCCACAAGAGATGTACATGTTCTTTGGCTGGTAGGGATTCAGCTGGTCCCTGGAAACGATCGTGATGCTGAAGCAACATACCCCCCCCTTCAAAAGAATATAGAGATGATGGGCATTGTATATATTTTACCTGGAATCTAAATGGAAAAGAGATCAACAAACATACACACAGAACAACCACTTCCCCTTTCGAGATGCACGGGCGGATCCGTCCTGAAGGAGGGCCAGGTGACCGGGCGAGCCCGTGAGATGGACAACACTCGGATGATCTGATGAGCCTGTGCAATGATGATCTGATGAGAAGTACCTGGACCCGACTTCAAGTACCTTAGAAAATGGGACATGACCCCATAAAAAAACAGGTACTTTGTACCCATTTTCTGAGGTACGAACTGAGACTCCAGGTAGTTTCGAGGACCGTGGTTCCACACTGGATATGATTCTGCAAACTAAAACCCATTGGATATGAGAGCACGTCATCAAGAATTGCCTGTTCCCTTAACCAAAATTACTTGCCTCTTCCTATATATATCACACCTATGAGATTTACATCCTTCGCCCAAATCACACTGCGCCTCCGTCCGCGGTGGTGGTGAGAAGAGGAGCCTCCAAGGGATTGGCGGAGGTGGAAGACCAACACAACTCTTGAGATGTCCAAAATCGAGTCCTGATCTATAAGAGAAACCTGTTGCAGCAATATATATGAACCAGTTCACAAATCGAGAACTCATCAGAACTGATTGAAAAGTAAGAAACAATAACATAGATGAAAACATGATTCAACAGTCCCAAACATGACCAATGGGACTGACATAGTTACCGGATGTTACCAGTCAATGTACAATGCAAGAATGTTCCGCATGGATTGTCTGGGAGGGGCCATAGTTAAGTCATGATCACTAGTACCAGGAGTCTCAGTTCGTACCTTGGAAAATGGGTACAAGTACCTGTTCTTTTATGGGGTCATGTCCCATTTTCTAAGGTACTTGAAGTCGGGTCCAGGTAAATACTTAGAGTTTAGATATTAATTTCTATCGATCTATCTGTAGCGATGCACACAAATCAACCAAAAAAGGATTGGACATAGGAAAGTAGAAGTAGATCCCCCACTGCTAGGCCCCATACAATTGAACAAAAACAACAGTTTCTGTCTATATACTTGCCAACCAGCCACTACAAATCATCTACTGTACCTTCCTTACAAAGTGAACGTCCTGATGGGTTCCGGCCCAATTAGCTCTAGCAACCACCAGACCCTCAGCATAGCTCCCCCTGACGCAGGCGCTGCTAGCCTGGCACCAGGCCGGTTCTCTTGCTCCACCGAAGAGGCCCCTGGCATGCTGCGTGTCTACGCTGCGGCCGGCGCAGCTCTCATCCCCCAAAGCCCCACCCAGCCAGTCCCGTTCCAAACGAGGATGCCACCCAGCAACAAACACATCGCACACATCGCACACATCGACATTGCGGCTTATGTCCACCAAATGCACATCAAATGCACCTAGTTTAAGTACTCGTTTGGAAGGCTATTGGGAGCAAATCCAACCATCAGTGGGTGAAGCTATTAAGTGGACACTCATAAAGAGCACTAGCTGTTCAATTCAGCCGTTAGGTCGGCCGCCAGTAGCCTCATGGCAAACGCCCGTGGCAAAGAATGAAAACAACAGACATAAACATACATCAACCCCTAAGGATCCAAGTACCCTCTGAGAAGGTGTTTGGGGTGGGTTTGGAGGGTCCAAGTACCTTTTGAGGAGGTACTTGGATCCCTAGGGTTAACAAATGCCCTGCCCAGCAGAAGGCGCTCCAGCCTAGCTCCGTGGCATTGGAGCTTTGAATCTTGCTGAGCTCCCTGTCTTTGCCTGCAAGTTCGGAAGGAGGAAAACTAATTTGAAAAACTTGGAATTGCCAAACCAAGTCACTACATTATTTGATGATGCCTTGGACAGGAACAGATCTAATGGAAATAAATCCGCTTGTATGGCATAATTCTATTTTTCTTCTGAGTGTTGTTAAGGCCAAATACAGGAAGAATAGCACAAACATAGCTGAATGTCAGGGCATGTGAATGTCATGGACCCTACGAACTTGCCTTCATCAAACCCATGTCTGAAAGGGTCCCGGCTTTCAGGCAAAGAACGTCCTTACGATGACTATAGTCATGTCTCTGCAATATCGCGGCTTTCTGATTTCAAATTTCTGATTATGTTTCTAGATATGGTCCGTACCAGTCTATACTTGGTCCAACAAAAAAACACACCACGAAACACCGATGTTAGGCATGCCGGCGTGTATTCATTCAGCAGCCGTACCCAACCTACCGACCTACTGGATGAGGCAAGGGGGCCAAATGTAGACAACAAACCACTGGACCATGACACATATTTGGACTACATTAACCAAAAGAAAAGCAAGACAACAGTCTGGATCAATACCTATAGCGAAGAGGCGGGAAAGGAGGAGAAATCAGGAGGTGTGTCCTGTCTCGGTAGAAATCGGGTGTCCGTTAGTCGCAACCTCGAATCCTCAATGTTTCGATGTATCCTTTCACATGCCCCTGATCAGTGTGTCCATAAAAAGATCTCGCTGCAGCCCATCATTGCTTTAACAAAAAAGTACTTTCCCACATAACCTTTGAGCAACTTCTGCCCTGCTTAGCGGGAAGACCATGATTCTCAGGGCCATGTTGGAACCCAAAAAGTAGACTTTCAAGAACCCAACTCCCCACTGCATCTCCGCCTTTGTGCCGCCGAATGGGCTGGTTGCAGGGCCGCAAGGGGCCTCGGGCCTGAAGCACACGGCCACGAGGGGCACCAACGAACTGCTGCTCCAAAGGGGAAAACACCGTGCTTTCCAGGTGAACTACATGAGTGTTGAGCTTCTGTTGACTCAACAGTGGGGAAGAACATCAATTCAATGAACTGCACCTCCAATCCAAACCCACTAATACACAAAAAACAAACGGATCACCATGTCTGCATTGGGGCCCATCGAAGGGAGCATCTACCAACCACGACCGGGGTCAACACTGAACAAAAGCCCTAACAATCCATGTATTGAATATGTGTCTACTTCCGAGTGGTTTCAATGTCGGTAAATATTGCATACATGGATTGTTTGGGAAAAGGACTCTGAGTACATATTCCATGATTGTGGGGGAAGATGACCTTGGTGCTTGTTTGGCTCGCTTTGTTGAAGCCACCAGGTCCGTAGGTACGACCAGAGGTCCAGACGCATCACGATGGTGGTGGTCAGTGTGTTCAGTTGACCCTGCCAGACTCAGCACCTGTCCAGGTGCTTGCTGCAACAAACACCAATTATATATTGGACAAATATCTTCACATCCAATTTGTCCTGGTGGCGGTTCTTTCAGCATTACAAGAAGAACCCGGAACTTAAGCGTGACACAGTTACAGGCAGGTGTTCCGATAACAACTGGTTGTGCACAACATTGATTCCTGTCATTTGCGATGGTGCTTTGCTGGTTCTGACACACCTCAAAGCTTCCGGTGCTTGTCGGGTTTCCACCACTCCAGCATGCACACCATTCCCATTGAGACGACACCAAATCGTCGAGATCAAACTGGCACCATCAGTGATGACAGGTGGTGATCATCCAACACCATGAAATGCAGTGCATCAGAAGCATAAGGGCCGGATCAAACACAGCAATTAGAAAGACAATAGATCCAAAACAGAAAGATCCCAATGGGGCAATGAATTCTTTCCAGAATATACCATGGATACTACCATGGATCCCACTTACCACTGACCAAGGTTTCCAGGTCTACGGTTCTAGCCTTCGGAACCAGGTTGCCTACTTATAGTGGGAGCTGGATCCACTGGGAATACCTCCATAAGCAACCACAGCCACCAGCGGGTCTCGTTCACCTTGGCCTCCCCGCCCAGGGGCTCGAAGCCACCTTCGCCAGCTCGGGCGGGCTGGTCTTCGCCGGACTGAAGCCCTGGCAGAGGAATTCCAGCGATGAGGTGTGGAATGTCAGGGTCGCACACTGTGCAGTCTCATTCAGTGGGACCATGCTGCGCCATGCTGCGCGCAGAAGCAACGTTGGTGCAGTTTCAACCACTAGGGGCTTATTCATTCATCACTGGCGCTGTGAAATTGAGCTTTGGTCTTCTTGTAGAGCTGGTCTTGGGTCCTCTGCCCATCTTCAACTCCAATGGGAGTAATTCTACTTTGCTACTTGCTATAATCCCTGCTGCTGAACCCCCCAGCATCACCAATCCATCAAAAAACTCATACTTTTCGGATCTTCTTCGGCCTCTGGACCACTTAAACCAGCCGCTCTGAACTAACGTTTTGCAGATCAAGAGTGTCCGGGACATATCAGTCTTGTCCTCATAAGCTACTTTGAGCTCCTTCTGGAAGTCGATGTTTGATCATGATTGATCAATTTTGGATCTTAAGTTTGGGACGTTCAAGCAACAAAACATGTCCATTGACAGTGTGTGCTCAAAACCGCGGAACAAATCGACATGTTTGGCAAAGAAAACACTGTATGAGCCAATGTTTGTTTGGACCCCACGGCAAAAACAGAACGTCGTAAATACCACATGTGTTGGCTTGCCGAGGATCAACACCTCGATATTTACTCGCTGCAGAATGGCATTGCCTGCCCATATGCGCCAAAAGCATGCTGTATATAGAAGGGGTCTTTTTGGCGCGCCAGGCAACAGGACCAATGAATCAATGAACAACAAGAGGGACAGTGACAACAACAAACAACAACAATCACAACGGCAGCCATAGCAACAACCAACTACACCAAAAAAACTGCTTATGGCATCGCTAGTTTGCAAAGCTCTACCATATTCCAGTGTCATGGATTGTCTGGGACTGGAATTGGGAAGATTCTGGAGGAAACCAGCGTACGCATCGATTGGCCATCCAGCCTGGCAGTGCTCGTCACAAAAATAATTACTCGAAACTCGACACATGTAGCAAACCCCTCCACTGGTGGCCGGAATAAAGAAGACCAAAACGACTCACCGGTGCTGCTTCCGACCCTCCGACCCTTCCGACCCTTCCGCGACGTCCGGTGGGTTTGTATGACGGTCCAAGCGAGCGGGTGCCGGACGGGGACGCTGAGAGAGCGCACGCGCGAGGGGGTCTGGGAAGCCTTGGCGACGGGGGTCGTGTTTCGGTCCAACCGGCGCAGGTCCAGACTGGAGAGCCGGGAGACCGACCACCAGTGGAACTTGGGAAAGGAACTGGACCGATGCTTGGCGCTACTACTACTTTGACCGTCATTCCAGGTGAGCCTCTAGTAGCTTCTTGCTACTAGTAAGGCCAGGAGCTACTAGTAGCGTTCTTGCTCCTAATAGCGATGCTCTTAATCCTAGTAGCGTTCTTTTTCCTATTAGTAAGGTACTATATCCTATAATATTAAACGAGTGACTAATAGTTTTTGGTAGTCGGCCCCTTAACCAACATGGAAGGCCGTAACTTGGTACAGCTTAGTTGTCCACTCAGGGGGATGAATCAACGAGGCATTTTCATCGCTCTAAGCAGTTTGGGGTGACGCAGTGGGTCATGGCACCAGGATACCTTGGTAACCCAGGGCCCCCCACGGATGCATGGCAAACGGATGGATGTTTTTTGGGGTTGCTGGTGGCGTGTTTCTCTGAATGTTCAGTCAGATGTTCAGTCAGTCTGTTCCCAACGTTTGCTTCGAGGTCGTTCACACCCTTTTGTAGACATAAAACGTTCACACCGTCGTCTGTCGACATTCGCCGAGCAGCGCGTGCAACCACAACACATGAACAAAAGTAAAAGATAGAAAGAGTAAAATAGAAACTGTCTGCAACCTGAATTCGCCGAAAACAGAGCCTCAGAGCTTCATGAGTCCCGTTTTCTGGCTGCCCAGGTGCCATCTCCTGAAGTCGCGCCGTCACCCTGCGGTCGGCGGTCGGCGCGTGCACGTCCGGAGGTCCAGGTCGCGCACGAGGAGTGCATCCTGGACGGTCCCTGAGAGAAGCATGGTCCAGACTTCCAAGACCATTGAAACAATGGTTGACCATGGTTGACCTGGTTTTTGCAGTGTAAAATCCTTACAGATTCGGGATTCAGCCTATTAAATTCATGGTGGTTGGAAGCCTAGGGTGGTAGTCCAGGCTTGGAGCGTCGCTATACCCTCCCAATGGTGACCGACCGTCACACACGCTGCACCGCTCACAAAGTAGGGAGACGGGTCACCCAACACTCCGACCTTTGTTCCGGGACATCGACCAGTCTACCCATTGGTTGGAGAAGGTTGGAGACCTTCCCTATCTAAAACTAAACACCCCGTACCAGTGGTCGGAGAGTGACAGGTGACCTTGGAGTGTGACAGGGGGGGGTTCGACCACCAATCCACTAAGAGGATGAATGCCTCAGAAAGCCCGTAAGCGGTGGGGGCCATCCTAAACCGTCTCACCAGAAGAGGCCAGCAATCCTGACATGCCAAGTGTCCCTAGCCATGTTCGGATGGACTGGTCGTCCCCTACATGGCCAGTTCTTTTAGCCTTTGGGACCTTGTGGACTTGAACGTGAGTCCAAAGCACGCTGCCTGTGAGGAGTCTGATGAAGTCGCGAAGCCACGTTCCTGATGGGACAAAGAAACCAGACACCTACGACCACCCCTGGTACGACCTGTCTGGGGGGCAACCGATGAGGCCAAGGGTGCGGGTACATGTTGCGGATCGGCTGCGTTTTTTCTTCCAACCCCATGGAGTGTCAGGGGCATGCGTTATTCTTGGAGGAGCGGATCTCTATATAAACCATCTTCCTCAGAAAGGGATTAAGGGATTCGCTCATAAGGAAAATAGATATCACTCTAAGCAGAACCAAAGAATGGGCTGACTTCTGAGTCCATCTGATTCCCAAGGTGTAAGTCTGCCGGCAGAAAAAGCACCCAAAGAAACAACCGCACATTGCCTCAAGTGGACACGGATGAAGATCAGCGTTCGCCACAACATGGCTGGGGCGGCTGGACGGATCAAAAGAGTTCGAATACTCATGGCTGGTTCGGCCAAATACCTGAAGAGGTTGCGGGGATGAGTTACTACCTTCGCGTTACCCCAACACCGCCAGGTGGCTCAGACTCCCTGGCCAAACATCATTGACATGACACATTTTCAGGTGATAAAGACACGTCCAACAACCATTGAGGACCCGTGTCTACTCTCCCTGACTGCTTGACGGAATTTGGTCTTCCTACCACCATCCAGTCTGGGTCACCAATGGACTACCCTCCAGTACTTAGAGATCTTACGGTATGTGTCCTTACTATACTTTGAAGATCCTTTTCTTTTGAGTCTATGGACATCAAAAGAAGGGCCCGAGGTCCCAAGGTGGAGCCAAACCCCGACAGTTTGACAAGATGCGCGAACTGCTGCAGCTTAAAGCCTCGGTTTGGAAGGAAGGGCGTTCTGCGTGCTGCTCCTCATGTTCCTGTGCCCTTGAATTATCTTGGAGAATGACTGGGAAGGACCTTTCATCTCATGGGTATTGCCAGATTACACCATTCTGAGATCCCCAAAGGATGAATCTGCATGCAAAAATCGGAGTCGCCTCGTGAGGGTTTAGACATGAAATACGATTGTTTCACCTCCTCCAACTATGAGTAGAACAAAACGAACCACCTGATGTGGATGAAGCTTGGACCCGGTATATATCTGAATGCATTACTTTTGCATGTTCACAGAAAATCCTGCCATTTGCTGCCAGCGAAGCGGCCATTTGCATCGTCAACGCCACGAGAGGTCTCTGGAGTCAGCACATCAAACAAAAGTTATATCTCGAGGCATCCACACAAAGCAAGTATGCTGGTATTGCATGTGTAAAGCAATTGCATTATGAGCATTTCTATCTACTCCAGCACCGGTCAAGGGACCTCAGAAGGACACCCCGTTGCAAGTCCAGTACATCCGGCTATACTGCGACAAACATATATTTCGTGCACAAATGTTCCTCAGGATTTGATCCTTTCCTTGGAGGCCCCTCCACCCAAAACCTACTGGAACATCGCCCCCCTCAAAGCACCCAAATGGGTCCCTATCTCGACCACCTTTCAGGTCGTTTTAGACCCCGAATTGGGTGAACAGGTTTCAGAGATTGACTCCACACCGATCGACGCCAAAAAGGAAGGAGCCTCCAAAGACTCCACGTCGCTGATCGCTTGGGCGGACCGCGCCACGTCGCAAAAGTCACGGAGCCGCCGTCCCGCTTCGCTGCCGAGAGGCTGGGATCACTTGGCATCTCAGACCTCGGAGATGAGGAAGTCCGAGAGGTCGCAGGGGAAGTCAGGTCGGGGGGGTCTGGGAAGATCAAGAACAGGTCTTCATGAAGAACATGTTCTTTCCAGATGTGGCACATCTGATGACGTTTGACATCGTAAGAGAGCGATGCCATCTGCTTGTGATTCCCTATAAACTTGATTTTGGCTCATGTTTCGGGTCTTCAGATCGAGCGAGATACACTGAGAATCCCAAAGACTTCAGACTGATCAGGATCAGGCTGTAGGGGTCAATGGGATAGATCCCCATGAAAATGGAGTGTGTGTGGACTGTCTGGAATCACTCCAAATATCAGAGACAGGGCATAGCTGCTAGACGGCCCATCAGAGGGCCCAGTGGTAGAGGGGCCCATTCCCCAAAACCGGCACTGGAGGAAACAACTGGCATTTCCAAAAAAGGCAAGGTGTAGTTTTCAAGACAAATACCAGCACCTCCGACAGGTCACCGATTGAGACCTGTTAGGGCCTAACAGGTTGTTACAACCCTCCCAAGGACACCTGTTGGGGGGATGCTGGTATAGATGGATCCCACTCCACCTCTTATATCGTCTTATAATGTGACATTGACATAGCAAATACAAATCAAATACATACGAATACAGAGCGTGTCTCGAGATGATGAGATCGGCAAAACCGCAAACAACCGCAACTCTGGTCAGGTGGTTAAATCTATATAGTCTTGGTCATCTTCCCCCCGGTTCTCATTGGTGGGACCATAGAGACCCCCTGGATGCACACACGCTGGAGGCCTCCTTCGGGAGAATCCATACCTTCACAAGATTTCGGGTCTTTCTGGGGCGTTGAACAAACTTCCACACCATGCCCCCCCCAAAGTCCTTGAAGTTCCGACTTGGTGTCCAAGCAAGCTGTACAGGGTAAACACGCAAAAACCATGAGATTGCTTCAAACACAGGAATTCAAGTAGTTTATAGGGATTCGCTCGAATTTGGGAAGAAAACATACAGAACTTCCCCAAAAAGGTAATTCATAGCACCATTCACAAACATGGGACTGGAAGAAAATGCCCATTGGCCTCGAAATAAACAAACCCCGGGCCTGCTCGGTCAATATGCCAGTCCACTGGTCGTGTCAGGGTGGTAGTAGGTTCATTGTTTCTTCAGTAGCTGATCGGCCCTCATGCACTGATCAGGGCCTCATGACGCTCAATGTCCCAGTCCCAAACAGGTATATAGGGTCCAAGGTACCTTCTCAGGAGGATCTTCGAGGTGAATGTACTTCAAAAGAAGGATCGAACTGGGATCAAAGGACATCCGATTCGGATGAAACCTGGACCTGCAGGGCTCGTATCAAGGACTCGACCAACCGATCGGCCCAGCGATCTGCGCGATCTCCGCCGGGCGGCTCGCGGCGCTCCCGGCGCACATCGCGGCTCATGGCGCGGACCCGCTTCACGTTGTCGCGCCTGCACGAGAAGCACGGCTCCATGAAGCCGTCGCAGCGGTCGATGCACGTCGGCGCATCCCTGTTGGAGTGGCTAAGAGGTCATGAAGCCTGTCCCAGACACGACCTGTCTGGGACTGGAATATACTCCGCCCCATTGACCCCCGAAACGGACCACTCCAATTGATCGGCACAAAGCTTCGTGTTGGCCCGTTTGCTGCGACGTGGGCTTTGGGTGGGAGAATCCTCGGATGCCGTGTTCTAAGTCTTTGGAGGTGGTTCTTCAAACCAACGAATCCACTTTGGGCCTGGTTGAGGTGAATCTCTTGGACGGGGCCGTTGTTCGACTCATGGACATACCATCATTGACTTGGATTCGCTCAGGAACTGGAAATGATTGGGGAGGTACGACGGCTTAAACCATGTGGTCAATCGAGCAGGGATGGCCCCTGCAGTGCTGCACTGCAGTCAAATCCACCGATATCCGATCCCCGACCGCTCCTTGGGACTGGTGTCTATGTGCCTGACCCCCTTGAAAACCACCCCTTTTCACCCCAAAGTATATGTAAACATGTCAGTCTCATGGAGCGTCTGGGCAATGGTAGTAGCACCCGAAATGGACAAGAGATTTGTGCTCTGAACATCAACGAACCATGACGAACCTCCATATGAGCAGCGGACAATACACAACTCTGACATGTCACCGCTATTGGTGGAGTCCTTTTAATTTTCCCAATGTATCTTTAGATCATACTTAGTTACTTAGATAGCACGCCTGCACTGTGAATACAAAATTACAGGAATTATTAATACATAATATGTATACCAGTATAGTTCCACGTAGTTCCACTAGGGGATGCTTGTTGGTGGAATAGGGGTGTCCTTTCTGTCACATCCACTCACTAAGCTCAAAGCCACCGCTTTGTGACTCCTGGTAGTATGAATGTATACTCCCCTGCAGATTAACATGGAACCCCAAAACCACTAGGTTGTAGAGGAAAATGGTCTTCCACAGGTCAATTCTGCAGGTTCTATGGGATCGTCTGCAGGGGGGGAGGGGTATGACCACTCCGAATCCGTTTCTGAGTCCAGGCACAGGAAGTCACGAGAGCCTTTGGTCTTGGGAGTCTTCTGACCCAACCTGAGGCGAGGTGAAACAGACTGAAACAAACCAGAAATCACAAACCATGAGATATGAGTGGCCCTTGAAGTGCTGATAGTTGAATATCAAAAAAAGACAAATACCATTCAACCAGAGGACTTGGAGTTTTCAGCGGAAGAGATCCTACAAGGACCTGGCGAGTATCCAATCGAATCCTGTATTGATCCATGAGTATTCTTTGATATGTATCGAAGAAGAAGCCCACCCGAACCCCCAGCCCGTTGAAAAGGAATGGTAGACAAGCGAAGACGATGTCTAGCCGTTGATAGCACAGGTCTCTCATCATTGAGATATGCCGGACATACGACGGGGAATGTGCGTGCACATGATGGAGTAAACATCAGCAAAACCCGGCAAGTCCACCGGGTGGCAGTCAGTAATTGTTGGCAAACCTTTTGAACAGTGTTGTGCTGAGTACATGTTTCGGTGACACTTTAAGACTTAGCAGCAATCACCTCCTCCTTTTTGGGGCTGCTTCTCATGCAACCAAAGCTTTGCGCACTCCAACTGGGTTCCGGCGCAAGTCGCCCACGCTACCAGTCTTGTGCCTGGATGAAGCCCGGGCCGAGTCGGAGGGTTGTTGGGGATGTCCAAAGAGATCTACTCTCCCTGGAATTAACATGGTTACGTGGAGTTCGCCACCTGTTTGTAGTGGAGTTCACCACCTGGTTTTTTACTAGGGGCCTTTCTCCACGTAACCAGGTAGCCCATTGAGGCAAACCCGGACCTGCAGCATGCACATGTCCCAGATCGCCGTTTCGTTCGCGGCCTTTCGAAACGCTCCACCCGCACGGAATGTCTCGACCACTCATGGCCCTTTCATTGGAGGAAATATGAGGAAATCAAGGAGCTTTGTTTTTTGGTCAGGTTGGTGGACAGGTGGACATAGGATATTCCATGGTATTCCTCCACGCTCCATGTTACCACATATCCTCGGCCAGGTCCGGCCCTTTCAGCACCTATATAACATGGCCCCCCCCCAAAGAAATAGAATCATACCCTATATGGATCCACTGCCACCTTCTCAGAAGGTCATTGGACCCTCCTGGCACCTTACTAGTCTCCGTCCTTACCGTCCCTGAGGTTCGGTATGTGGATCAGGATACTGCCCACGAGTCCCATCGAGGGCTCGTGGATGTGTTCGCACCCGGCTCCGTCCGTCTCCTCGGCACTCTGGGAGGGAGCTCAGCAGCTCAGCAGCTCTGGGAGGGAGACCGAGCTAGATGTTCAGAGTATCTTTCCACCAAAAAACCTCCTGGCCCACCTCCATTTCGAAGATGCGACAGGGGTGGGTGGATTTGGGGGGGGGTCTAACCACTGAACCTGAGGATATGGGCCAGGAGCCCTAGGGATCTACCATTAATTATCTACCTATTGGTAGACATCCTATGAAGCGTGGTCTGAACACCTTCACCGGGCCGTTTCGCTGTTTGCGGAGCACTCGTCACTCGTCTGCCTCATAGCGATTCGAGCACTCTCGCTCTGCCGGGTCATGGCGAGAGATGGCAACGGTGGCCCACGGGTACCCACGGCGGGACGCTGTGGGTGGCCGGACGCCAAGCCTGGTGTGTGGATGTGTACGGGAAATGAATGGCGTGAAGTTGGTGAAGTTGCTCGGTGCAGTCAGTGGAGGTGGTTCCTGCAGGTTCTGTTTTTGCTTTGTTAGCAACCCTGGCGTCCATTGATCTGGCCTAAATCCGACTATATATCCCTTGGGCCAAATGCATGGACGCAGCAGAAAATATGTTTAATCTACCTATAGCGCAGTTCTAGATGCACAAATTTAGGACATGGTACTGAAATCTACTGAAACTAGGACGCCAACATAGGACCAACACCATCCAGCAATCCTATATGGAGTGAGCTGCCTTTTTGGAGGGCGTACAAGTCAATTCGGTGCCCCAACAAAATCCACGAGAGTGGATGGGACCAAGATTTGGTCTCAGACCCCCATTGAAAATTTCTGGATGACGAGGGACGAGTGCTCCCTTGGCTCTTCATCTCGTCTGCTCCGATGCCCGTCGGGGGTCAGAGGCTACAAATGGTCCAGTGATTAATATATGTATATATATATGCAATATCCATCTCTCAAACACTCCATATATTTTGTATACCCTAGGGCTCCAAGTACCTCAGAAGGAACTTGGTGCCCTAGGATCCCTAGGGATACATACTGCGAAGGCAAACCAAAGGTCTGGTGGATGAAGGCGTCGGTCCATCAGGGTCTATCACCGCAGATTCACATCAAACTCCAATGAACCTCACTGTTTTCGCATTCGACCCTGCTACCAGGTGGTCACCATAGAAAGGCAACCATGTTTTTTGGTTTCCGGGAGAAGAGTAGCTGGAACCTCTAGTTCAGCAGAAATTTGAACATTATGGTGCTATGAAAAACACGCATGTACTTACAATGCCCCGGTTTCCCATGCCAACACTCCATGTGTGGCACGAAAAACCTTCATTGGGTTGGTTTCAAGGGGTCAATGTAGGTCAACATTCCCAGCCATGGGGTGAGACTTGGTAAACGGGCACTTGGAGGCTCCGGACTCTGCATTTCTGAAAGACACACTCTGCACTTCGTCTGTCCAACAATCCTTGCCAAATGGGTCTGTAGTTTAAGATACGGAAACACCCAAGCAACGGGTTTCGGTCTCTTGTCCTTCTTGAGTGAGTTTCCCTGCGAAACTGCCAGGATTGAAGTTGAACATGGAAGGCAATAGGGAGCTGTCACAATGTATCAGAAGTATTACCACGGTCCATCTCTGGCCAATCTCAGATCCCTCAAGAATCCTCCACCAAACGACGAAAGAAAGCCCCAAACCTTCGGACCGCTCCCTGTCATTTTCGTTCGCGTATGGCGTGTTCTGCCGTCATGGCGTGTTCGGCATATTCTCCTCGTGTTCTGGGAGGCATCCCATGCGGAGGCGTTCCCGATGGAGCCTCACCAGCCGAACCTTCGGGTCTCCACCCGGAGCGTCGTTCCGGGTGGGCAGACGTTGGCCCAGAAAAGCGATCACGCCTTCTGTTTGCAAGGTCGTGCCTCGCTTCGAAAGTTTGCTGCAGAGTTGCTGGGGAGCGGTTTCATACATTTCTGGCTAATGTATGCAAATGGAGGGGACAGGTGTTGAACAACAATCTGCGAAAGGGAGGGGAGAGAAAAAGGGCGTCTCAAAGCCTCAATACATTGTTGTTGTTCTCTCGGGGTTTTTGGACACCCCCTCTTCTAAGGATATGTATGAATGGCACGGGGGGGCTCAAGACCTGAATGTATGCACAGGGGGTGACGCACTCGCCTATGCAAATCTACATTTTTGGCACCTTTGCGGCCATTGTATGAACCGGGGTGGAGGGTCAAGCAAAATCTCACAACATGTAAGAAACAAAGGGGGGAGAGATACTTTGTTCAAGGAAAATGTATGGAATGGGGCGGGGGACATCCATAATCCTCAAATCATGAAACTTACAACTTCCAAGAAAAAAGCATGTATAAAATCAATTCAAATCACATCAGGAATAACATCTGGAGACCGTGAAATGTGTATTGAAAGGGTACGTACACCCTCATTGAATATATACACGCACTTATGTGTCCCAGTGATACTATATACATATTCATGATTATTGTAATTGATGTTGTATTACAACAAATTACTACTGCATACAATTGGACAACCTTGCACAGGACTCGCTTTGCTGCGATTTGGCTGCGCGTTCATGCGGCGCCACTGCGTCTGCATCACCCTGGGCAGCTGGGAGTTTCATCACCACTGGGGGGGCTTGAGGACTGTTTTGCTGCTGTGGGGTCCACAAAATGTGTTTTGC